CGACGTTCTGAAGATTCAAACTTGTCGATCGCTGAAAAGATGAACGTGCGGGCTCTCAAGTCGGCCGGTTTAAAGACCGTGCCCCAGCAGAGCAACATGTCGGAGTGGCTTGCTTTTCGGAAGTGCCTTGATGTTCAGGGGGATAGGCACGCAGGGTGGGAGGACATCTTTTCTACGGTCCTCGCTTCGTCAACCATCCTGGCACAGGGCAGCAGAACAGAAGACCTTGAGTTGGCTGCGGGATTCATGCAGTGTTTTACTGCGCAGTCAATGTCTACGGACGCCCTGACGAACGTGCCGTGGGCAAAGGAGATCCGCCATCTGTCCGAGTTGGAACATGACTCACTGTGGGATCTGAGCTTGCCTACTGAGTACGTCCCTGGGACATCAAGGCCGGCGGTAGACGTCGTGCCCACCATCTATGTGGTGACTTCCGATTCAACTTTGGCTCTGATCACTGGAAAGGGTAAGACTTTGAAGAAGTACACCTTGAAGGAGGATCTGGGATTGCGAAAATCAGACATGGTTCTCGAAATCGGTCATGACATGCTCTGGGGTAAGGATTTACAACAGCTCTGCAAAGCAAATATTTCCATGATCAAGGAGCTGATGGCAAAATATTCTTCTCATGGATCAGCCATCAGGGTTATTTCGGTGATCTTTTGGTCTGGAAATGAAATTTGTGGGGAATATGGTGTTGAACCCCTTCCCATTTGGGGGCAGAGGGAACCACAGGGTGACTGGAATGCCATCATGGACAGGGTCAAAGGCAACATTGTTTGGTGGAACAATCAGCTCAAGGAGTTGGGAGTGGATCAGGCCGCCCTAATCGGCGAGCCCGACCCGCTCACTTATGGGTTGAGTCTCATCTTCACGACGTTTATTGAACGTCTGAAGGAATGGTTCCACAAGGAGATTGCCAGTGACAACGATCGGATTCGGTGGATCAAGAATGACATGCTTCCACCGAGGCTTGAGCTCAGGGACTACTTTCACGCATTCGAGACCGAGCTCAACCAAAGCGAGATGATCGGATATGTCATGGCAACTCTCCACATGCTGCACATGACGGACATTTTGATCCCTCAGTACAACCTGTCTTTGTACAAGCGCAGGCGCCCTGCAGGTGAAGCTACAATGCGCGATATCCCGCCAAAGATGGAGCACCTGCCAGTCAGGTTTGTGCAGGTTCTCAACTCTCTCCGGGAGAAGGTGAACAAGCCTGCACCGAGTGTCTCGACCCCAGAAAGCTTTACAGCGGAGGAGTTGAGGGATCGCCCGACTGATGCTGGTGTCGCTGAAGATGATGACGAGGAAGGCGACCCATGGGATGCTCTGGATCCCGATGAGCACGAGGGCCCATCTGTTGGCAAGGCCAAGGCAAGCCACGCAGCTCCGCCTGACCCCAAGGCGAAACCTCAGACGACGCAGGAGGATTCAACTCAGGCCACCTCAGCTGGTGAGCCCCTGCAAGAAAACGAGATCAAGGGTACCATCATCCCGAAACACGCACTTGGACACCTTGACAAATATCGTATCACTTTGGACGAAAATATAAATGCAGAAGTAGTTGAACATTGCGTCGTTGATGCCCATCCCTACGAATTGATCGTCAAAACCTGTTGGGAGATGGATGGGGCAAAGGAGCTGAGGTACCCAGATCGCATGGACCGACACAAGACCAAGGTCAATGCAGTGACGCGTGGACAGCCGGGTCAGGACACCTCTGGATTTGATGAAAACATGTGGCTTGACCTTGATGACTTCTTTCGAATGTTCAACCAAATGCTGCCAGCCAAGTTGCCCCGAATGACAGTTGAAGAGCTCATTTCATTGCTCTACTGGGACAACAAGTGCCGTTTTGAGTTCCAGTGCATTGCCGGGTACCAGAAGGCAACCCGTAAAGGGTTAGCCTACTGGCCCATCAGGATCCGTGCAGTGCAGGGGCATACGAAACGTGCCATGGATGCCGCTTCAGCTGAGGACACGTTCAATGCAGTGGAAATCTATGCTCTGTCTGGAGCAGCAGCGATCCAGAAAATGAACGCCAAAGGTAAAAAGATTACCACTCCTCAGATGTGCCCTGGCGTAGTTTATCACAGGACTACAAAAGGCAATTGGAAGGGCATCATTGAGAATGGCTTCGTTGCTGGAGGAGGAGAACGAAATTCATCAGGCAGAGCACACTCCTATTTTAGCGAAGCGCGTGTCGACGAGAAAGAGTATGTGAGCGGTTTGCGTGCTGAAAGACCCATTGAAATCAGGGTAGCAATGGCTGAAGCTGTCAAAGCTGGCATTGTGTTTTTCAGGACGGCCTCTGACGGCATTTTGACAAGTGATGTCGTACCGCCTCAATACATTATCTCTGTCGATGACACTGCCAAGAAGGTGAATCTTTATCGTCGCCAGCAGGAGATTGCACAGTCTGCAGCGAGCAGTGGGGGAGAAGTTGGAGTCCAGCAGCTTGTCGAGACCTTTGAGGCCAAGGCATCGAAAAGGACGGGTTCCAATCTCCGGCCGCCTCAACTGGCGCGCCCGCTGCAAAGACATTTTTCCCAGGAAAGGTGAAGCCTCCGCCACCAAATGTGGCCCAACTTGCCGGTATGCCTGGATATGCAAGCAGCAGACTGTTGCCCCCTCCTCCAAAGGGTGAAGCTCCGAAACCTCCTGCAGCAAAGGTTGAAGGACCAAAGACACCGCCAAAGACACCTCCGAAATCATCACCGAAGGAAGGGACTTCTGCACCTCATGCACCGGAAGTTCCAAAAGCTGTGACCTCAGAAGTTGATGCAGCGGCAAAGGATGAACCTGCAAAGAAGAAGGCAGCCCTGACAAGCGTGCCCGCAGCTGTGCCTGCGGCATCATCGGCTGCGGCCTTCTTGGAGCCTGCACCAAAAGTTGCACCACCAAAGGCAGTGCAGAAAGATCCAAAAGCTCCAATTGCAGAGTCACCCAAAAAGACGCCAGCAGCAACATCAAAGTCACTGGTGCCAAAGCAGAAGTCTCGCCCTAAAGGCGATGACCAACCTTCGAAGAAAGAGGTGAAGAAGGAGGACAAGAAGCCGGTGCCGGTCAAGATCGAAGTCACGCAATGCTCAAGATGTTTTGCACAGACTTTCAAGGGACAGATTGAATGCGATGTGTGTGGATTGATGCTCGAAGGGATCAACAAGGCCGACCGAACCAAGATTGCAGAACGAAGGAAGGCCGCCCTTCACAAGCTGGGCTTGTACTATGATTTTCGTGGTGAGTACCTGCAGAGCATCACACACGATCAGCTTGAATCTTTGGGTTTGTTGGACGACCAGGCAAGGGGAAGCTCAAGTCCGGAAGCCAATTTGTTGGCAAGGGCGAAGAGTCGTTTCGACCGTGCCTTGAGCTTAGGCTATGTGTCTGTGGCTGACAGGTTTGCCCAAGACGCCACATTCGCAGAGAGCGTGTTGAACGAGGGGGAGAACGAGTACGATTGTGAAAGGTACGACCTCCTCAAGTCTGCACATTTGCCAAAGCCGGGTCGCACCAAAGCTCAGGTCAAGATGGGTATTTCTGAGCAATCTCAGCTTGAGCACAACGCGATGAGGCTGGTTTACTTGGATTTGGCAAGCCGTCTTGATGTCCCAAAATCATTCAGGTACATTGACCAGCCATGGTTCTACATGTACCGAACCGAGATCTACTCCGAAGAAGAGTACATTGACTACCTCAGCAGGAATCCTGGACACAATCTTTTGTTGTCTTGCACTGGTGTTGACAACATTGCTGTTCATGATGCTGAACGTCATTTGAGGTGGATTAAGGGACAAAATGAAGAGCTGTACAAGCAGAACGCAGCAGAGAAGAAGAAACAGTCTGACAGGGCCCGCGAACAAAACGAGGCCAAGCGCAAAGCTGAGCAGACTGGTGCGTATGGCCAAGGTCCCTCCAAGAAAGGCACCGCCAAACCGGTTGCCCGACCATCCACAGGCGTAGAGGTAGCTTCATCATCAACGTCTGCAAGTCAGTGGATCAACCGCCCTCAGCAAAGTCAGTCCCACGATGATCGCCGCTACACTGGAGAATGGCAGAAGTGGCATGGACGCTGGTATGAGAAAGTCATCAGGCATGGACGTGTTGAGTGGGAAGAGGGATAAGTTGTGACACTACTTGCATTGACGATCGGTTTTTGTATCATAGCCGCCAAGTGTGTTTTCCCTTGGGTTCGCAAAGAGCAGGTTCGGTGAGGCAGGTCTTAAAGACCTCGCCCTGGTAAATGTGGCATCCTCGCCGTAACCGGCTCACCTGAGGGGGGTGTAGAATCACCTCACATAAAACACACTGTAATATAGCATGCACTTGATAGCATTGCGGCTCAGGTAAAAAGTAGCTTGTGCGCCGCTAGCTTAACGGTTTTCTTCCCACTTGTTATTGGTTTATCAGTCTAGTTGGGATAAGTAACATCCCCTGCTGAAACCTGTAAATACAGGATTATATTTTACTATAGCATACCCTCTGGTAAACTAACATAGCTATTGAAAATGGCCATTTATAGTGAGTTTTCCCATTAAAAATGGTGAATCCCCAAAATAACTGGGGGAAATCATCTGTAAATGGGACATTTTCCATAGCTATGTTAAATAACCAGATGGTATGTTTTTTGAATACTGTTGGATTAATGATCTTGAAAAATCTTGAAAACCATGGCTGAACCATGTAGTATTTATATATAAAGAAATCCTATAATTATGGCATAAATGGATGATATGGGAATGGTTGCTTGGTGGTTTTGGCAGTTTTCGCTCAGTCAACCCACATGAGAACACCTGTGGGGTCCCAAAAATTGATGGAGTGGAGCTGCTCCTAGCAATGGCAATCCCATCCATGTGCTCCATGTCTGGTATATTTAAGCCTACATCAGTTATGTTGATTTACTTTGCACAATTTTGCACAATTTGTGGGTAAAAAGGTTGGTAGCTGCGGTACCTGCTACCTATTCCCATCATTTTTGTCGTGGGTTTTTCCAGGTCAGTTGGCGAATCTGTGGAACGAGGCCGGGTTTTTCTAGGTGTTCCGACTCCCAGGGAATCGGAAAGTGTTCGGGTTTCAAAGACATGTTCTGTGGATTTTGTTGCTGGATTTTGGTGCTATACCTTTCCATAAACGGTTTTTTTATTGTGGTGATATATGCGGAGGCTTCCTAAATTAGGGTTACCCAATAGCTGGATGGTTTATTTATGTGTATTTCATGCAACATCAAACAAAAAGCAGACATGTTCAAAATACTTGGGTAATATAGCTCAGGTGGATGATAACTATTTCCATATATATGTTCATCAAATAGCTGGATGATAACTTGGGGTACCCCTCATTTCAGGAAACTCGCACGGAGCACGCCTCAGTTCCCACGTTGCCAGGCTTGAGCACTACAGTTGCAGAGAGAAGTGCGGGCTGCCCACACCTGGTGGGGGAAGAATGGGGATGACATACAATATTAATATATATATATATATATATTTATAATTATTTATACATATTCACCATCTTGTAATTTCACACATGTGCATATATATATATATACATAGACATAGACATACATAGTCATACATTGATATCTATGGATGTTCCCAATAAAAAATGTTAATATATGATTGATAAACAGTCCATTTTCCATAGGGTATTGTATGTGTTTTTCATATGAAAAAAAATGACTCATCATGATTTTCATCCATATGGAAACGCGTAGACCTCACGCAGGCAGTTTTTTTGGCTTCGGGATGACAGCAGATGGGTTTCCCCATCAATTTGGCTTCGAGAAGTGCCTATCTAAGTGATTTCTCATGTCTGTTTGGGATCATGACTATCGATAGTACAGATGATAGTTTAAACTATCATTTCCAGGTGATATTCGATACATCCCAATTTTTATTGGGATTCAAAGTCATGAGTAGATCCTTAATACTCTGGCAAACTAACGTAGCTATGGAAAATCATCATTTTGAATAGGATGATTAGGCAAATCAACTATCAATGGCCATTTTGAATAGTATACATTCCATCCGGATTTCGTTGATCGGGGGGGACAACTTCCAGGCGAGAAATTCTCCAAAGGTGGCCTGCCACCCTATGGTGATGAGGACTTATCAGCGCCTTGACGGATGCCGTGCCGGGGAGCAGTTGTGTAGATGTGGATAGATATACATAATTAGATATACAAAATATAGCATAATATGCGACTTTTTTGTTAATTCATAGGATTTCGGCACAAGACATATTTTGGTGGATGTGGATGGATGTATACCATGCTATGCTTTAAAGAAGGCTGTATCGCAAATAAAGTCCAATCCACATAACGTGGTGTGTGGCATGATTTACCTTCCTCGGGATGTCACTTTCAACCAGTTGATTGTTGGATCAATGAGAATGTTGGTGATGCGCACAGCGGTGCCGTTTTTAGTTTGTTTTGGTTACTGCTTCTATAGCTACATGGCTGCAGCTCAGTGGCTCAAAGTTCAAGGTCCGGATCAAGGTTTAAAGGCGGCGATCCGGTCAGCTCCAGACATCCGTGGCTCAAAGAGCCACAGCCACATATACCATATACATTCATATAATGATTTAATGATCCGTAATGATCCTATGGTTCTGATATTCAATGATTTAAAGGTCACAGTTTGCTGAGTTTGCTGCAGGACGTGAAGAAATCTCCATGTCTTGATTCACCCTCCAGTTGTTAATAGCAACATAGTGCTTGTTGGTTCTATCATGTTCTATCGACATGTCCATGGGGCCATGGGGCATATTTCAAATTATCAAAACAAAAAATTGCCCATGGGATTTTATTGGCATCACCGGATGTTGTTTTTCTTCACCAGACGATTTTGAATTACCTGGTAAACTAACATAGCTATAGAAAATCACCATCTTGAATAGGTAAATCAACTGTAAATGCGCCATTTTCAATAGCTATGTTAAATTGCCAGAGGGTAGATATTTTTATGCACACGATCGCTACCAGGTGCTGCCCCCTATGTTTGGTGCTTGAAAAAAAAACCACCTAACTTGCGGTGTCACCATCAACCCAGCGGTTCACCCGACGTCGAGTTGCCACGAGGTGCTGTACTGGGATGCTCGTCATGCACGTTCTGGCTCCTTGCTTGCAGGGAGGTGACGGCAGGCGTTTGGCCATTGCCCATAGGGAGTTGATCAAGGGTTGGGAATCAGTGCCAAGTTGGACCCAAGTCTTGTCCTTTCTGCAACACATACATATAGAAGTGGCGTTCCCCATTGACAACATCTTTTAAACACAAGAACATTTCCCAGCTTTCCGAGCTTTCCAAGATGGGTACGTTCTCTCTTTTGAACCCCAGCATTCTGTTGTCGTTTCGCAGGGTCCGTATAGAGATCTCGTTGGGACCAGCGTTGCCCAGTTGTCGCCTGAGGCGCCGCTTTTTTCGATTGGTACCTGGATTATTCGAGGCCTGGAAGCATCTGGAAGAGATGGATGGCACCGATGGTACATTGATTCAAATTCAAAACTGGTTGGAAGAAAACTGCCAAACACATGTTTCTGGAAGTTAATTAAAACATGTTGTTGAAACCGAAAACAGCTTAAAACCCTTGATAACCATATAGTCAAAACATCTCAAAACATCTATAAACATCTTCAAATCATGGTTGTTTGGGTTTCAACTCCCTACCTTTTCCGGACGTTGTTCGCCAGGCTGCGGTCCGTCTTTCACCAAGAGTCACTTGCCAAATGCCTGGGCTACGGGTCATTCCGTGACGTTCCCGTAGTTGTCCATATAAAATATAAGATATCATATAGATATAATTGAATCTATAATCATCTATATAATCATCTATATGATCATATATATATATATATATTATATTTATTTATCTATGTTGCTTTAGCTTTCCATGTATTTTCCTTAAACAAAAAACATCCCAATGCGGTGAAGCCTGTCGTTGTTGCCGAAGCCAGGTTCCCAGCGGCGGAGACGCAACCAGAGATCTTGGACGTGGGCTTCGGCACATCTGAGGCGGACGTGGGGATCTGGCAGACGTTGGGATTGAAATCGGAAGTCAACAGAAACGGGAATATCATGTGGATATGTCATGAACATTATAAAACATTATATAACCAACAACATCAATATCTGTCTGAAAATAAGGTATATACCATATATTCTAAAATATTATATCAACATTTAACTTTAGATAAACATTATATAACATTATACATTATATACCATATCAGTATCTCTTCTCATGTGGACGATGATGACGCACCGATGGATTTGAAGGCACCATATTTTTAGACCAGATTGACGGCCGACGATCATTCGGAAGAACCCTGATTTCGTGTGTGGAAAAAATAAGATTAAACACATGATGGAAATATGATGACATATGATCAACATATGATTCATTTGGGGAAGCTAGAGTTATTATCAAACATGGATCAACATATGATGACTTGTGGGAGTTACCAGATGAAACAGAAATAATGCCGTAGGGAATCATCAACATGAATCAACAATCAACGATACTTGATGGGATATGGGAGTGAAGCCACTAGATAGGAAGATTAAGATGAGAATTCACATGAATCAACCATCAAACTTTGGAAGTCATATATAATTACATATATATATATATATATATTATATATATAGCCGTATATAGCCCACAAAATGAGACATATGCCTGGGAATTGACCACCAAAAAGGGTGTGATATGGTACCAGCATGTCTCAACTGCATCAACCCTTAGGCTAAGAACTGCTCTACGAAACAATGCTTGGAACTGGAGGGGGAACCAAAGAACAGAACTAGAACTACGTATAGTCGAACTACTATTGCGGCCCCGGAAAGGATAATTTAGTATAGTTTAGTTGGTTTACAACTAGGCCAACTATGGTTTATGGTGTCACCGTGACGCTGGCAGAATTACATGGATGCGCGGTCGAAGCGGCGTCGCCTTGCCCTCGTACAGGGCGGTTTTGGTTTCTGTGACGCAGGTGGCAGACAGAAGGCAGATGTTTGAGCGGTCGACAGTTGGCCGGTACCAGTTCGACAGTGCCAAGACCCTTGGATGGAGCCGTGAAGGCTTAACACCACTGTGGCCATAATTGACGATCTTTTTTTTTCCACCAAATTTGTGAAGTCTTGCTTTCCAAATTTGCAATTTTTGGTTGTTCCCAATTATAGATGGCTAAACGTAAGCCAATTTACAACTGGGAAGCTCCAGATTGTATTATGTTGAATTTTTTAGGTGACCCAACCTGCCTGGGTGAAGAAATAGAGTGGGCTCAGACTTAAGTGGCCTGTGGCCATGTTCGGCTGAAGCATATGCTATGCTATATCCGTTGGAATCCAAATAGATCCGAATAGGCTACATGCGTTTTGGATGCAATGGATCTTGGTGTGAACTTACACACTCTTAGCAAGTCTCCCCTAACGTACTTCAATTAGTGCCTAGAAGCTGAGCTACGAAACATGACCAGCATTTTGTGCAAGGGCAGAAAAAAACGCTATAAAGTTGGTAAAACAAAAATGAACCCATCCAGTAAGTATCTTCATTGCAACATCTATCAGTTGACTTGATGATTTCGACCAGGTAAACCTTCAGTTAAAGTTAAAACTATGTTTTGTGGCTAAAAAGCCTCCAATGATCTTGCTTGCCCTCCACTAATCCAACATTGGAAAATCACTAAAAAATAATCCATGTAGATTCTAAATCCATTGCTACATTAGATTCTAAATCCATTGCGAAATCCAACTGGATCCTCCAGCTATAGATTCCAACTAGATCCATGGCTTTCCCAGCAACACCCTCGATCCGCCCCAGATCCCCATGCGCCTCTTCAGCGATGGCTGGGAATTTGTGACGGCCGTGGACCTTTCGGCACCTCGCTGATCCATGGTGATCCAGGGATGGAGAGTTTGGCGCAACTTACAGCTGGTTGGTGGTTTCAAACATGGCTTTTATTTTCCATTTCATATATGGGATGTCATCCTTCCCATTGATGAACTCATGTTTTTTCAAGATGGTTATTGCACCACCAACCAGTACTGTGATGGTTAGGAAATGAAGAACTGACAAATGATGGTTACCATGCTGAAATGATCAGTGATCATATTGGATAGTGATAGATCAGCATGTTTGTTTTGTCATATTTCAGTGAATATCACTATTCAATATCATCACTTCACTATGCAATATCATCATATCACTTGCAAATGATCAGTATTTGATGAATATTGCAATGATGAATGACTATAGTGATGATAGATAATACACTAACTTTAATATGATTATGACCGAATGATATTCAGTAGTACAAGACCAATTTACACGTCATTTCATAAATGTTAATGATGATTGGTTGGATATGAACCGCGGATAAGTGATACTTCATGGAAGTTTATGGTAATGAGTGGATTTAGTTATACCAAAATGGGGATGGTAATGGGCTTTATTCTCCGGAAATTCGCTACAGTTTGCAATGTTACAGATGGCCTATTGAGTTCGTTGATTTAGCTATTGCAAAAAAAGAAACTTGTGATTTTCCACAGCTTTGTGTTGGTTTACCAGAATTAGTTGTCTTCTGGGTTCACCAACAGCAAAAGGCTGAACGGGTATTTACTACATTTAATCAAGAAATCAGGTTGGTAAGTACCCCAGGTACAAGGGGGATGAATTGAGTAACCATAGAGGCAACATTATCGATGTATTAACGTCGCTATAATTTGCCTTTAATGGGTTGGATCGTGTTGGAGCAACCCTGATGATTGTTGGATCATATCAAGTTATATCTTATAGCCCAGAATAATCATATATCCAGGAAGTAAGTTGGTAATACCCTTGTTACTACTCTCCACTTATATATGTGGAACATCCACAATGGGAATAAACAAAGCGAATTCGTTTGACCAAGCGCATCATCATGGTGCTACTTCCTTGGATCATGGGTCTCATGCATTGCTGGCAGATGTGGAGGCCAGTTTTGCTCAAAACTGTTTCTTTGCAGACCCCCATGGATGATGGGAATTGGTTGCTTATATAAACTATAGTATGTTATAGGATATTATCCCAGTTATCCCCCATTTCCTTTTATATACATTGTATTATATATATATATGTATACATATACACATATACATACATACATAGTAACCCCGGTGAATTTCCTACGTCTTTCCATCGTGGTTTCCAGGCGGGGAGTGTCCGTCTGGCACAACAACGACGGGAGCAGAAATCCTTGCAGTTCCTCCAGGCGCAGCTGGAGCTGGAGCTGCGTTAGCCGCGAAAAGGTGGTCCAAGTTGGAGGATAATAGGGTTGAAATGACATACATATACTATACATATATATATATAGACTATATATACTATATGACTATATGATATTACCATACAGTTTGATAATATTCCAATATGTATTGTTGTGATGGTCAAACTATAGTCATAATATCGTAGTTAATTATCACTGACATATAATCTGATAATTTGGATATTATAACTTGATATATCACATGTTGTAAGTGATACCATATGTGGATATGTCAAATAATATTTGTATGATAATTATAATATACTGTATTTTGATGTTGTTATCCATGATATAATGTGATGTTATGATATTACAATATCATGACATATATTTAATGAATATATAACACTAGTCACTAGTCACATTAGTTGTGATATTGACATGCCACTGTTTATGTCAATATAGCGATAATCATTGATTTCCTCGGTGGCTTTGGTGTGCAATAATGAAGTTTGCACTATTTCCGGCTACGGTGTGCTACTCACCTGTTTGTGCGAAATTTGTTGGTGAATGGGCCATTTTACAGAAATTTGTTGGTGAATGGGCCATTTTACAGAGAATGCATATGAAATATATTGAACTATACCTATACTATATTTTTTTTTTTTTTATAACTTATATTTTGCTACAGTACGTGTGTATAATCAGCCAAGCCACGTCGTAACAATATGTGTTTTGATCTGGCACATGTTGGCCGCCAGATGGATGCCTGCAAGCTGAACTTTCCGGACCACTGTTTCCACGCGGTCTTCGACAAGGCGCGGGTGGATGGTGCACCTTGGTTGTTGTTGTCATGTTTTTTTCAAAGACCCGACATTCCAAAGTGGACATGTTTAGGCTGTTTAGGTGTAAGTTGATGGTGGAAACAGAAGTTACCATCATTTCACATAGCCTTTGCTAATCAAACATGATCATGATTTTAGTTCAATCCCTATGGATCCAAACACTGTCTGAGAAGGTACTTAAGCCTCCAAATTATAGTAATTTATAACCCAAACACTTCCTAAGAAGGTACTTGGATCCATAGGGAATGATTTTCCCTACCTCGAAGGCCACCTTCGATACCTTGGTGTGCTCCTCTCGGCCCAATGTCTCAGCACAGGCGCAACAAAAAGCAGCTGTGGTTCACATGGGTTACGGTTGCTGTATTCCTGACGCAGGGGAGGAAATGGAGAACTGGGGATAGATATATATAAAGATCCATAAAGCATAGTTGGCTTAATTACTCACGGACCAACTTATCTAGGAGTGCCACGAGGTCTCATGGCATGATCTCATCACAAGCTCATGGCCAACCAATCCCTAGGTGGCCCGAACAGGGCATGAAGTAGCTGTACGATCAGGACCCAAATGATAGACCCAGCAAAAGCCACATTCCCTGGTGAAAATGTTGATAAGTTGGTTTCTTTTCACCCATCTACATCCATCTACTATCTCCCTTTTCAAGCTGTACTTAGTCTTGTGTAGCCTTTTATTTCAACCAACTTACCATCTGGTTATTTAACATAGCCATGGAAAATCAGCATTTTTAAGTTCGGTAAACCATCTATTTCTATGGGCCATCTATACCATGGCTATGTTAGTCATAACCAGAGGGTATCTACCATTTGGTCTCACATGGTATGAGTTGAACAGCTCAGCATGTCACCACACTTCGGAGCGACGTTCAGGCCTACCTGTCGGAAGTCTTCCGCGTGTTGATGCCGGGGGGTGCCGGGGTGGCTCAGCTCCTGCCGAGAGGTCGTTGACTCCGTTGACATCACAAGAATCAGAGGCTTTCTGTTGTCATCGGGCTTGTCAGTTGTAATCATCATCTATCCATAGGATCCATGTATGGTATATATAGTAACATTGGGGGTATATTGATGGTAAATGTTACCATATATACCATACATGGATCCTATGGGCTAGATAAGATATCTCTATACTGCATAGTTATGGAATGTTATACAAGCATTGCAAGATATGTTAAGAGTAAGAGGTCATGGTCCATATGAGTCCATATGGTGTCTTGTGATCAACCGCTGTGCGGCGACATGCAACACAAGTTGCCGCCCTGTAGAGTTATACACGTCATTTTGGGCGCTCAGCCATTGAATGTTGAGCAAAATTCCATGGATACGATCCAACTGGAGTCTCATTGAAGCGAAGGCAAGGAAGGCTCCAGTATTTGGGATTTGAAAGGATGAATTTTGCACCGAAAAATGGTCAATTTCATGGGAGTAGACCAAATCTGTTGATAGTACTGGGAGATGTACCCTCTGGTAAACGTTTACAGTTTGCGACATTGAAAATGGCCCAGTCGAAATAGTGGATTTACCCAGCTATAAAATGGTGGATCTTTCCATTAAAAATGGTGATTGTCCATTAAAAATTGGCATTTACCCATTAAAAATGGTGATTTTCCAGTTCGTTATGTAAACGTTTACCAGGCCGGGTACAACGGAGATGACTTGCGGCGTGGGGATGGATTTTGCAGCCGACACCAGCGTACTGAGTACTGCAAAGCCATGGGACGATGACTGATAAAGCTGTGAAAGGTATGCAGAACAAGAACAACAACAACCCACAACCCAGAACCCACAACCCACAACCCAGAACCACCACCACCACCACCACCAACAACAACAACAAGAACAAGAACAAGAACAACAACAACAACTGCAGCGCACAATCTTTTTTGGGCTTCTGCGAGGTGATCGGTCATTGAAGTTTTAATTGGCTTAGTTCACGCCATTTTAAGTGGATGTAAATGCTAGATTAATCTGGGTAAGGATTATCATAAGACCCCATGTAACCATGGATACCCGACAATTCGCTCTTCGGAATCCAATGCACCACATTGTATAAACTATGAAGTCCATTAAACCAGCAACTTTTCTCACTGGATTTTGTCAGCTGGGTCAACCTTGGTTGAATACTGTAGTGAAAGTAGTACTTTCTAATCTTGTGCTAATGTTAAAATGGTGTAACATATTGTAACATGTACTAAGCAACATTTTTTTTCTGGGGCAGGTATCTTACAGATTCACCTTGTGGCGAGGTCTTTCTGATGGTCACGCACTCGGGCCCTGCCGAGCGGATGCCCTACTTGCTGCAGGAGCCACTGATTTGGAAGGGGGCATCCCCGAAGTCAGTGGAAAACCTATTGGGAAATCATTGAAATCATCCAATTTATGGAGGTTTATAGCTGGGGAAATCCCTCACAATCGATCGGAAAAATGGTAGGATTTCTCCACTTACAATGGAAACATATGGAAAAAATCATGGGAACATCCCACCAAGAGAAAGGAGGTTTCAATGGAAACATGTTGGAAGCTTATCAAACAAAATAGAGGTTTATAGCTGGGAAAATCTCAACAATGAAGATTTGTTTAATGGGTCTTAGTTGTCAGTAGGTAAGTAGGTTTGTTAGTTGTCAGTGGGTTGTTGCACAAGAAACGGGGTCCAAATGTGATTTGTTGTTAGTTGTTAGACTGTTAGGTATGTTTCCTTTTTGGAGGGGAACCAATTGAGATTCATCCACCGGCTATAGGAATATGATCTGCATAAGTTCAACAATTTGCCGCGGTGGAAAAGAAGGGTTTCACCATTCCAATGTGAACTTTTGCCCGTAGACACTAGCTTTTATGGCTATATATAGACATTCCAAATCATCAATTGTGAAGCATTGGATACATGTGTGTGTGTGTTTGTTCCTGTGCTGGTACTGTACACGATTGCGTTAATTTTGCGTGGGCTGGTGTATTTAACGCAATGCCACTTTGAAATGGATTTGAGTATTTGAGCAGACTTTACATACATTCCAGTGAAACAAACAAGGAACGCCATCCACGCTCTTTCCACCGTTACCAGGACCCTTCGAGGGGATGGAAAGTGCAGGCACTGCCACTTCGCCAACTGAGGACATCATGTTTAACAACATAATATATATAATATTAGTGGTATATAATATTTAACCATCATTGTTTTATACCATTCTTGTTTGGCATCAGACCGACTAAAGTAGCTATTGTGGCATCAGAGTTGGATGGACTTTGCACTTTGACGCTGTGTGATGTTAAGTCGCCCTATGAATTTTCTTACATAATGTATTTATATACGTGTGTGTGGTGTTAATCCTGTCCAGAAACCACTGTTTTTTCCAACTGGTGTTTGTTCAGTTTGGCGCTATGGTCCCTGGCACTTCATGTCTCTTGAAGCCAGAATCCCTGTACCGTTCCCAGGGAATGAACACAAAATCTGGATTGAATGGACCTTAATGATGGTTTACAGCTAGGGGAAGTAACCAATTCAAAGGCCTTTTGTATCCTTAAGTCAGTTTCTGGATCCCTTGTTGCAGTGTGATTCTCCAGAAATGGATAGATGGATATGTTTCAACCCTTCAACCCTTGTATGTTCTAGATGTACCATGAGCGTGGGAGGCAGCAAGGATTCCAAAGCAAAGCTCTCTGGACGGTTGGGCACTTGGGATGGTGTTGTCTTGGGATGTGTCAAAATTCAGATTACATTTAGATTGTTTATACCATCGAAAGGATGTCCTAAACGTGCCATTGCATGCATTGGAAGCTTGGCCATTGATATGTTGTTCTTTCTGTACCATTTGGGAGAGTGAGCCAATTAGAAAGCTCATCGGTCAGTATCATTAGGATGAGTTGAAACCGCCGATGGAATTGCAAAACTGGATGGACGATTTTGCAATGATTTACTGCGCAGGGCATGTATTCAGATGTGAAATTGCCATGATGCTATTCTATATGACTGGATTCCATTCAGATTGCCCTTTTATGCGGCCAGTGTAGTGGCTGTAGTGGGCTTTCCAGTCCCTGATTCTTGGAGTGATCCCTGTAGAGGTGAAGTTTTTGGCCGCTGCCGAGTGGCCAAAAAAAGGCAAAAAAAAGGTTGGAGATTTTCGCATTTTTTGTTGCGAAATATAGATCCTGTGATCATGTCTCGTCATCATGTCTCCACGTTTCTTTGAGCTTTATATCCATTCTTGGACATTCTTGTACAAGTTTCATACTTATCGATGGATCCACATTGTGCCGCTATTTTGTAAACCACAATTTTTGGTGAGTGTTTTTTCTTTTCACCTTGTGGCATAGCTGCACCCTGAAACATATGTTCATTTATTTTTTTTGTTCATGAGATCATTCAAGCCATTATATATTGTATATGTCATTCAACCCATTATATATTGTACATGGTATGTACGTAACTTATGGATTTATGGCTTCACCTCATTTTTATTTACTTTATCATTATACAGGACAGGCCCCCCCAGTTATAAGTTGGTTTGTAAACCCCATGAACTATTAGTTATACTAAACCATAGTTAAACCACTTTTCTAAGGCAACTGAACGCTATCTTGGGGGCCCCATCCTCGGTAACTTCAGCCCCTCCCATCCCCTGCCTAGGCGCCGAAGCTGAGGGCGAGACGGAAGAGGGCGAGGAGTGGCCCACGTAGTGCTGTTTTCATGGGATTTCATGGGGAAATATCGTCCGGCTGGTGGTTTGGAACATGGCTGGATTATGACTTTCCATATATTGGGAATAATCATCATCCCCAACCTGACGAAGTCCATCATTTTTCAGAGGGGTAGGTATACCACCAACCAGTAGTTAGAATTGTCAATGGGAATATTATATTGGATACTTTCCATGGGATTTTACTGTTGTTTTTCTCACATAGCTATGGAAAATTGCCCATTTATAGATGATAAACATGATGATTTACCGATTTTAATTTTCCAGTTCGCTACATGAACCAGCGGTTCACTATGTGGGTAGATTTTGTGGGTTTGTTCCCCCATGATATACGTAGTTGTGTTTGAGGAAATAAGTATAACAGTAACCCAGTTACAAAGCACATAGCAAACTCTATGGCTCAGCTAAGTAGAAGAAACTATGGACAATCAATGGTTTTCCCCAGAAAGATCTATGTTGATTGTCTGCAGGGTTTGCCGAGAAGAACATTAGGATGTGTTGCAATCCATCTTCATCATCATCATCATCATCATCATGATGTTCATCATCATAACCACCTGTCCGATTCGCTCTGCCATCCATGCATCACAACAACCCACCCCTCCTATAGTGTCATATCTTTGAAACTTCCGCCACCGCCTTGTGCGGTACTACTGGTATATTAAACCACCTGAAATCCCATTTAACCATGGCCCAGCTATGTACCCTTACTATGGTCTACTATGCTGAATCATCATCCCCCAGCACCAACGGTGCAGTCTGCAGTCCCTGACAGGAGCTCCAAGAGGCGGCCGCGACAAAGTCGAGGCCCAGTGGTGTATCCCATGCGGGGGTTTCCATAAATGGGGATCCCCCGAAATGGATGGTTTATAATGGAAAATCCTATTACAATGGATGATCCCATGCATGTATAGATGATTTATAACTATTATAGCTCACAACTATGCTTACGAACCAGTTACCAAGGATGATCCTCCAAGTAGGTTTTTGTTTTTCATGGCAACCGAAAACCTACCATCCATAGGTCTATGAGCTCTCATAAACCAACATTATGTGTTTGAAAAACCCCATGTTCATTATCTCTTTGCCATACATTGGGGGATTTTTTTTCATGCCCAGCTACAGCAGTTCTTTTGTCGGGATGATTTAAAGGAACAATCTCGAAGATTTTTTTTCATACCTTCTGCTAATTTAACATAGCTATTGAACATGACCATTTATAGTGGATTTTCCCATTAAAAATGATGATTTTCCATAGTTATGTTAAATTACCGGAGGGTAGATTTGTCTGAAGATATGGTATCCAAAATCCCATGATTGATTTTCCCATCAAAAAACTGGTTATCACTTGGGGTATCCCACATTTTTGGACAGACACATATGATAATGGTTGTATTTTCCCGTCATATCCCACCATTATTGCACGATCATATCCCCATTCTATCTCATTGTGTATTATATATGTATACAGTTTTCACATATACATATACGTATATATATATATATACATACATATACGTATATATATATATACATACATAATTATGTATATATATATATATGTATGTATTTATGATTTTCCCAACAAATCTATGGTGGTTTCCTGCAAGCACCCGCTAAAAACCAACCTCCGTGGAGTCGTTTTTTTTTCCAGCGCCAGGGCGCCCTGCTACTGGCTCTTCCTCTGTACCAAACCAACGGAGTCACTGGAGAGCCACTAGGTCCGCGGGCGAAACTTGGAAGGGACCACAGATTGACATGGATTAGTGTTTAGTATGGACCATCAAGTCATTGGGATACCCAATCTGACCCACAGCTATATGAATGTGTAAATTTGGGATATGGGATATGGTTAATGAATTAATCACTTCCAAATATTTGGTTAGCAGTGAAGTAACCAGTGTCTTGGAATGTTTTGGACATCCCAAATCACCTTAAGTAACCACTTGTCAACCCGAAAACATGCAGCAGTTGGATAGTTTGGGATTGAGATGAGCTGCCTTGCCACGGAAGTCGCAATGCATGGGGGTACATCCTTGGACATTTCAATCCTCAGAATGCTGCACACATTTACAGGATGATCCACATCAATACCCACGACTTAGGAAAACCACATTCTTGTTCAAGCACCAAAAGGCAAACTCGGCGCGCCATCGCAGGCAAAACTACTGGACAAAGTGCCCGTAGAGCTGCTGGAGGAAAAAACGACTTGCAGTTGAGAAACATTTGTGCAAGATATCCAGTCCGGATGTTTGATAGTTTGAAGATTCCTCAATAATGGAGGTACTCCAAAATCATCCAAGTATATCAGTATATCATCCAGGTGATTAGGCCATTGAAGTGTTGAAACAACCATGGTTTAGTGCATCAGGAAGCCCATTTTGCTTGACCCCGAAACCTCAAAACCTCGATATCTTCCGCATCGCGCAGCACCTGGGTCGTCGCAATTTGACGGCGCACGGCAAGAGCTACGACGTGACTTGGATGAGAACTACAGGGGTACCCCCTATGACTACCCATGGTGACTTTGGAAACCCCCCATATTTTGAGGGATTTTACCTTTCAGACATGGTGGATTGATCCTGGGTTGTCTTAGTCTCTTTATGATGATTTGTTTGGCTTCTTGTTTTTCATGAGATGTGTTCTTTTGTGGCGCTTCGTTAAATATTAGGATGGTTTTGACATGACCGATGCTACTTGCTGGGCTTGGCTACCATCAGAGTTCAGGTGCCTGGTTATGCGGTCTTCGCCAACACCTGGTTGTCCAACCATGTTACTTGGACAAAATCGGGGCGTCTCCAGATGGAACCACTTCTGAAACATCCTTGGATTGATTGGTTCGCAGAGGATTGAAGCATCCAGAAACTGGGGAAGAAATAGCTCTAAAGGGATGTATAGATGCTGGTAGTGTGGCCCCTAAGGACAGATCATGAAACTTGTGGCTGACTGGATCCAAGCCGCCTTTCCCACCTGCCACGACACTTTGATGGTCTTTGCCAAGGGGATGCTTTTCAGTTAATAGGTCGGTTTAGACACCCATTAATTAACTATAGATGTTATCTACATTTATCTACCATGAACCATACTTAATCTATATAGTCACTATAGTTATAAACTAACTTAGCCTAGCTATCGTTTTGGGGCCTTAGATTGTAGTTGCCCATGGATCCATCGTCATCCCTGCTTTCAGGTTCAGAATTGGTACGGACGAGAGGTGCCATCTCAGACATTAAACCACCCATCTCCAAATAGCATAAACCAGCCATTCGAGAAAGCCATCATTGCTGGATCTTGGCTAGTTTTCCATGGGTTTTCCATGGATTTTCCACCGATCCAAACCCTGGGGCCGTGGCAGGTCTTACCCTCGATGGATCAATCGGTTGGATGGGAACAACGATGGACGTTGGGAGATCCCAGTGGTTACGATGCCAATCAGCTGTATTGTGGTACCAACCATCCTAAAAACCAAACAAGACACACACACACAATGACTTGTGAGATATACTGTAAATGGTATAAATGAGTATATATATATATACATGTAGCATCAGGGGTTGAAATCCAGCATTTTTCCCGAAACGGACGAAGCGCTTCACTCCAGATTTAGGTCCTTCAAGTGGCTCCTGCTGCAAAAGACCTTGGCTCAGGAGGCATTGGATGGTTGTCGGATCGCTTGGGTTGCTTGGTGGCTTGGCATTTGTAAACATGATCATGAAATGTGTAATAACATAATTCATGAAACAATCCCCCTGGCAATTTATGTAACATATAGAAATGACATAATGAGTCAGACTGAAAGCAACTTTGGTTCACCATTCAATGAGTGAACTTTTTTTTTTGAGCTTGCCCCATCCAGTCACCCGTCATCGTCATCGCAGGATGCCCCGGTGATTTCTTTCCCATCTTGGCACCTGGATTCGCAGGAGGCGAATGGTGGGTGGAGGATAGCCTGGTTTATTGCTTAACATAGTGAGTTCTGCCACCCCCTCCGAAATTATTGGGGCCTAATGTTTCAATAAACTTATGAGCTTTAGCCGTCTTAGAAGGTGTTTTACACACCTTAGCTAATTTGTTGCGGGTCCCTATACCAAATGAGATACCAAGTGCATATCATTTTATATCCCATGACGGATCCATGGTGCTGCTATATATGGTGTGCCATGGATCCCATCAATATACCCCCAATCAATGTTAGCATTCATATACCAGCACCATGGATCCTATGGGTTATTGGTACCTTGTTGATTGAAAGATGTGAAAAATCCCCAAATGTTTCCCATTGATACCAAGCCTCATATAACCTCATATAAACCAGCTATCAAACACGAAGTTCATTGGATTGGTTTAAGGGAAAATCTTAACCGGAAAGCCCTATATGTCATGGTAAAAACCCATGGGTTTCCGGTTAAGATTTTCCCATCAACCAATCCATTGATATGTGAACCCAGCTACCCTGGCCCCTTACGTCCTGCCCGGCTGCAGGCGGATCCCTGTTGGAACTTCGACCCCACAGCCTTGCCATTGGCCGATTGGATCGCCCTGCAACGGGAGGAGAACGCCCTTGGCTGGGCGATTTTCCACCCCAAAATAAGGAGATTTTTGGTGGTTAATAGTGGGTTAATAGTGGATTAATAGTGGATAATCAAAGGAAGTTTAGTGGGAGAAACTTCCGTGTTACGGACTCTTAGAATGTCAGGGAAAGAGTTAGTCAAAGAAAGAGTTAGTCAAAGAAACAGTTAGTCAAAGAAAGAGTTAGTCAAAGAAAGAGTTAGTCAAAGAAACAGTTAGTCAAAGAAACAGTTAGTCAAAGAAACAGTTAGTCAAAGAAAGAGTTCGTCAAAGAAAGAGTTCGTCAAAGAAAGAGTTAGTCAAAGAAAGAGTTAGTCAAAGAAAGAGTTAGTCAAAGAAAGAGTTAGTCAAAGAAAGAGTTAGTCAAAGAAAGAGTTAGTCAAAGAAACAGTTAGTCAAAGAAAGAGTTTACAGTTAGTCAAAGAAAGAGTTACTCAAAGAAACAGTTAGTCAAAGAAAACAGTTAGTCAAGAAAGAGTTAGTCAAAGAAAGAGTTTCGTCAAGAAACAGTTAGTCAAAGAAAGAGTTAGTCAAAGAAAGAGTTAGTCAAAGAACAGTTAGTCAAAGAAAGAGTTAGTCAAAGAAAGAGTTAGTCCAAGAAAGATTTAGTCAAAGAAGTTAGTCAGAAAGAGTTAGTCAAAGAAAGAGTTAGTCAAAGAAAGAGTTAGTCAAAGAAACAGTTAGTCAGGGAAAGAGTTAGTCAAAAAAAGAGTTAGTGAGGGAAAGAGTTAGCAAAGAAACAGTTAGTCAAAGAAAGAGTTAGTGAGGGAAAGAGTTAGCAAAGAAACAGTTAGTCAAAGAAAGAGTTACTCAAAGAAACAGTTAGTCAGGGAAAGAGTTAGTTAAAGAAAGAGTTGCAAGTGGTGCTGGTGGATGAGTTGCCGATGGAGTTTTGGAGGAAGTCTCGCACGAAATGCGTTTTTGAGAGATAGCAGATGCAGGAAACCCTATGTTTTTCCATACAAAGTCTGTCCCCGAACCTCGATGATCTACCTCTGCGTGGACGGGTGCGGACCGGTCCTCGTGTGTGGTCGGATCAAATCCTCGGATTGGTTCTCGGATCGGTCTCGGATCGGTTCCGGCTTTTGTAATGGGTTTTCAACTGTTTTTCGTGCAGGTGTGGTCGACAGAATTTCCATTGGTGATTGCAACTGTAGGAGCGTTCCCTTCCCTTCCCTTCCCGCATTGTAAATGGGGTTGCAGTGGTGCTGGTGGAGGAGTTGCCGATGGAGTTTTGGAGGAAGTCTCGCACGAAATGCGTTTTTGAGAGATAGCAGATGCACGAAACCCTATGTTTTTCCATACAAAGTTTGTCCCCGAACCTCGATGATCTACCTCTGCGGTGCGACGGGTGCGAGACGGTCTCGTGTGTGGTCGGATCATCCTCGGATTGGTCTCGGATCATGGTCGGATCGGTCTCGGATCGGTTCCGCATTGTAAATGGGGTTTCAACTGTGTTTCGTCTATGTGCGGTCGACAGAATTCCATTGTGAATTGCAACTGTAGGATCGTTCCCGCAATGCAAATGGGATTGCAAGTGGTGCTGCCGGATGAGTTGCCAATGGAGTTTTGGAGGAAGTCTCGCACGAAATGCGTTTTTGAGAGATAGCAGATGCACGAAACCCTATGTTTTTCCATACAAAGTCTGTCCCCGAACCTCGATGATCTACCTCTGCGGTGCGACGGGTGCGAGACGGTCTCGTGTGTGGTCGGATCATCCTCGGATCATCCTCGGATCATGGTCGGATTATGGTCGGATCGGTCTCGGATCGGTTCCGCATTGTAAATGGGGTTTCAACTGTGTTTCGTCTATGTGCGGTCGACAGAATTCCATTGTGAATTGCAACTGTAGGATCGTTCCTGCAATGCAAATGGGATTGCAAGTGGTGCTGCCGGATGAGTTGCCGATGGAGTTTTGAAGGAAGTCTCGCACGAAATGCGTTTTTGAGAGATAGCAGATGCACGAAACCCTATGTTTTTCCATACAAAGTCTGTCCCCGAACGTCGATGATCTACCTCTGCGGTGCGACGGGTGCGAGACGGTCTCGTGTGTGGTCGGATCATCCTCGGATCATCCTCGGATCATGGTCGGATCATGGTCGGATCGGTCTCGGATCGGTTCCGCATTGTAAATGGGGTTTCAACTGTGTTTCGTCTATGTGCGGTCGACAGAATTCCATTGTGAATTGCAACTGTAGGATCGTTCCCGCAATGTAAATGTGATTGCAAGTGGCGCTGGTGGATGAGTTGCCAATGGAATTCCATTGTGATTTGCAACTGTAGTATCCTTCCCGCAATGTAAATGGGATTGCAAGGTTGCTTCCTGCTTTGGCTGCATACGTAATACTATTGTCTTTTGCAGCTGGACTTCGTAAATCGTATTGGAGTGGCTGCATGAAGGCTGCGACAGTGATTTGTCAGGAGATTTTCTCCATTTTGGCGCTAGTGATTTTCCTTCTAAAAATCTTTTTAAAAAGTGCTTCAAAATCGTTTTTTTTTCGCTCTGGCGTCGAGATCCGGTTTTGGAGCTACAATTTCCGCACTCCAATGCGCGTAGTTCTATTGTCTTTTGCAACTCCCAGCCGCAACCGCCGCACAGACGAGGTACCTTTCATCGCCGGCTGCAGCGGGGACTCTGGCACAAGCTCATTGCTCCTCATTGACCATGGATGCTGCAGCTGACATTCTTTTGAAACAGCTCGCCGCTGAAACACAGAAACGGCAGAGAGCTGAAATGCTATGCCAGCAAGCTTTGTTTCAGAAAGCGAATGAGCTCGCAGTCGAAAAGGAAGCGCGCTAGGCTTCCGAGGACCTGTCTGCAAGCTTGCAAGAGCAATTGAGCGCCATGGCAAGGAAATGTGAGGAGCTGCTTCTTAAAAAAGGGAACCACAAAGCTTGTGATCAGGTTGCACAGTTGCAAGATATGCTAGAGACCTTGTTGCCGGAAAAGGACCAGTTAGAAGCAGAGTTTCAGAAGTTGAAACGTGTGGACCTCGCCGCTGAAACACAGAAACGGCAGAGAGCTGAAATGCTATGCCAGCAAACCTTGTTTCAGAAAGCGAAGGGGCTCGCAGTCGAAAAGGAGGCGCGCAAGGCTTCCGAGGACCTGCCTGCGAGCTTGCAAGAGCAATTGGGCGCCATGGCAAGGAAATGTGAGGAGCTGCTTCTTAAAAAAGAAAAACGTAAGAGCGCCGAAGAACTCTGTGCAACTTTGAGAGGGCAGCAGTTGGCCACGCTGTTCCGAACAACTCAAAAGTTGGATGCTGAGAAAGCGTTGCGCAAAGCCGCTGAGGATCAAGTGGCAATCCTGCAAGATGTGTTGTAGACCGTGACCGTTGAGAAGGACGAGCTGCAAGCACAACTGCAGACGCAGAACAGCGGTTCTGTTCTCAGACGTGGTGTGTAATATAACATGGACGGTCACTGGGAAGAGTTCGCGCCTGAGGCGAATGAACAAATGCTCCAGGCATACCTCGACTATGTCAGAGAGATTCCTGGCACCCAATTTGTGACGATCAGCTCAGGTGGAGTGGAGCGTCAGGTGGATTTCAAATTGATGCAGCAGAAGCACCTAAGGACTGGAAAGACTCGCGGCATCCGTGCTTTACCTGGTGCTCCTCCCAATTGGCAATCTTCCAAGAAAAAATACTGTTGGAGCACTTTTCACCAGCCATTCCCAGTTATTACGCATGCAGCCGCGGAACCAAAAAAAAGAATCTCACCGGTGCCCAATACTATTGTCTTTTGCAGCTGGACTTCGTAAATCGCATTGGAGTGGCTGCATGAAGGCTCCGATAGTGATTTGTCAGCAGATTTTCTCCATTTTGGCGCTAGTGATTTTCCTTCTAAAAATAAATTTAAAAAGTGCTTCAAAATCGTCTTTTTTTCGCTCTGGCGTCGAGATCCGGTTTTGGAGCTACAATTTCCGACGCCGTTGCGCGTAGTTCTATTGTGTTTTGCAAATCAGTCTCTGCAGATCGCATTGTAATGGCTGCGTCAAGGTTGCTTCGTGCTGTGGCTGCATTCGTAATACTATTGTCTTTTGCAGCTGGATCTCGGAAATCGTCTTGGAGTGGCTGCATGAAAGCTGCGACCTGGATTTGTTAGCAGATTTTATCCATTTTGGCACTAATGTTTTTTTGCTGCACGTAGATTTAGAGCAGTGCGAAGTGTGGGGCGTGAAGAGTGCAGTGTGAAGCGTGAAGTGTGAAGGAAGCAGTGTGAAGTGTGGAGTGTGAAGTGTGGAATGTGAAGTGTGAAGTTTAAGTTTGGAGTGCGAAGAGCGCAGTGTGAAGTGTGAAGTGTGAAGTGTGAGGTTTGGAGTGTGAAGGAAGCAGTGAGAAGTGTGAAGTGTGAGTGTGAAGTGTGGAGTGTGAAGTGTGGAGTGTGAAGTGCGAAGTGAGAAGTGTGAAGTTTGGAGTGTGAAGGAAGCAGTGAGAAGTGAGAAGTGTGAAGTGAGAAGTGTGAAGTGTGGACTGTGCAGTGTGGAGTGCGAAGAGCGCAGTGTGAAGTGTGAAGTGTGAAGTGTGAGGTTTGGAGTGTGAAGGAAGCAGTGAGAAGTGAGAAGTGTGGACTGTGAAGTGTGAAGTGTGAGTGAAGTGTGGGGTGTGAAGTGCGAAGTGAGAAGTGTGAAGTGTGAAGTTTGGAGTGTGAAGGTTGGAGTGGGAAGGAAGCAGTGAGAAGTGAGAAGTGTAAAGTGTGGACTGTGAAGTGTGGAGTGTGAAGTGCGAAGTGAGAAGTGTGAAGTTTGGAGTGTGAAGGAAGCAGTGAGAAGTGAGAAGTGTGAAGTGAGAAGTGTGAAGTGTGGACTGTGAAGTGTGGAGTGTGAAGTGCGAAGTGGGAAGTGTGAAGTGTGAAGTGTGAAGTTTTGAGTGTGAAGGAAGCAGTGAGAAGTGAGAAGTGTGAAATGTGGAGTGTGAAGTGTGAAGTGCGAAGTGAGAAGTGTGGACTGGGAAGTGTGAAGTGTGAAGTGTGAGGTTTGGAATGTGAAGGAAGCAGTGAGAAGTGTGAAGTGTGGAGTGTGAAGTCTAAGTTTGGAGTGCGAAGAGCGCAGTGAGAAGTGAGAAGTGTGGAGTGTGAAGTGTGGAGTGTGAAGTTTGAAGTTTGGAGTGCGAAGAGTGCAGTGTGCAGTGTGAGGTGTGGAGTGTCGAGGGAAGGACACGGTCGGGACAGGTTGTCTTTGAACTATAGGTCATTTATGTTTGGGAAACTTCCGCCGCCGGCTTGCCCGGGTCTATGTTATAATATATAATATATAATTAAGCAGCATCCTAGAAATTGGGGGTTCCTTTATTGAATGTTAAAAGAGGGACAACCTCATTTTGGGGACTTGGAAACTTGACAACATCCAAGTGCGGAATCCAAATTAAAAGAAATCAGGGCTGAGGGTTGTCCTTTGGTTTTTCAAACCCAATTTCCATATCCCAAGATCTGAGCTGAGAGTTGGTGGGGAATCCCAGCTTCCCCCTAGGTTGGGATGCTTGACCTTGGACAGCCAGCTGCGTGGGCATAGAGCTGCTTGGAAGCAGCTGCAGAAGGTGCTGAGAGGCGAGTTTCTGGATGCGAAGATGTGTAAATATCAGGCCCGAAGTGTGGGGGAAAAAGGCTGGGGATGAAGGTCGAAAGTTTTGAGACGGAGGTGTCTTGAGGATTTTATAGAACTTTTGATTTTGTTCGAGATTTGTAGTATTCAAAAGAGGAAAATCAATGGACGAGATGGGAAATTCTTCGCCGACGAATCCTGCCGATTTAGGTACCTCAGGTACCTGTAATCTGTAATTTCTTTAGGAGCACCTGAGTTGCTGGTTCTCGCTTCCAATCTGGCATGAAACTCCGTGGAATCCAGCGTTCTGCTCTCGCACCTGATTTGCTGCCATCCATTTTGAGATGTTTCTCCTGCCACCGAAATCCACCACCGAAATCCGCCTTGAATCATTCAGGATATTCAGGTGGAAGATTCCCCCATATTTTTGAAGCCTTGGTTTATCAGTTTATCGATCCTTGCAGGATGGCAGCATTGTGGTCTTCCAGCTGCCCCATGGCTGCGAGGAAGAGGCCAGAGACCTCTGCGCCAGGTTTGCAGCAGAGCCCAGCGCTGAGTCGGCCATCTGCATCATGGCTGGTTGGGGAAGGAGTTTTGACGGGATTGAGTGAAGATGAAGACAAAGTGTTTTTCAGTGTTCGTGCTGACTTTGGAAACCACCATCACTAGGTAGAGGTATCCAAAATCAATCTAAATCATGTTTTTGACCCACAAGTGAAGATGCGATTTTGCGCAAGCTGGATACGCTGGATAGGCCTTGTGTGCTCCAACATTTGACACATCGCTTGAGGCAAAGGAAAGTTGGCTCGCTACCGGCCCCTGGAGTTCTACATCTTGCAAGCTCCATCCCTTGACCCAACCACCACGCCAAACCAGCTGGCCATGTGCACGGTGTGGTGGGCGATGGCACCCGGTTTGCCTCACCGGGAGGCGCCGGAGCCCATTCCGCTGGATTTCTTGGCCGCCTTGGACCATTGGTTGCTGCCGCGCTGCGCTGAGATGCAGCTGGTGCAGTTTGGAGCTGAGGGGGTGCCCCTGTCCACGGCTTGGTTGCCCGGCATGGCCAACGAGGTGTGTTGGGTGGAGCCGGTGGTCGAGAAGGCCATAGAAACCATGGAGGCTGAGGAAGCTGCAGAACCGGAAGGTGAAGTGGAGAATTCCGTGTGGCTCAGGGCACGCAGAAAACGTTGGGCGGATGAAACGGACACCAGTGAGGAAGAGAGTGAAGAGAAAGTTCCTTGGCAGATGCCGAAGGATTTTCCACTGTTTCAGTGCTTTGCAACAAGTTAGCTTGGTCATTTGCAACAAAATTTGCTGCAACCAAATTTGCGAGATATGCTCCCAAAGGTTTCAAGTTGAAACCGGATCTTTTCCAAAGTGTTCCAAAGTTTTCCAGGGCTGGGGCCAATAATTTCCATAGGTTTGTGAACTTACTAACATTTGTTTCAGCTACTGTATGGCAGTTGAGCTTGGGCTCTCAACTCGATGAACTCAGGTGGATGCTTCTTTCAACAACATTCAACTTCAAAGCCCAGGCTACACACTCTTGTCTAGGGTTGAGCAGTTAAGAGTGCCGGAGATGTTGTAAATGGATACACACTGGAAACGTGATGTTTTGGTGTCAGAACTCCAAAAAACACCACAAGACAGTGACAACGTCTATTGCTTGGCTGTATTTTTGGGATGCGAAACAGATATCGTTAGTGAAAGTCCTTTTGCATACCTTAAATCTGACCTGATGGTTAGACATTTAAAATTCCTTGTTGGTTGCATGTCCAGCATGCCTTAAGTTGCTTCGGCTATATTACTCCATCTTGCCATATCTTGCCAGATTACCTCCCTGAATCTTGGCCTGGATCCCACACACAAAATAGAACACATGGACATGGCTCAGAGATATAACATACTTCCAACATCTTCCAACCGTGGATGTCTGAGTATGTTGACTTACAAGCAGATGTCCAACTTTTGTTGCTCCACATGGCACCTGTGATTGATTTGTTGAGACAGGCGCCAGCCCCCAGAGATCCAGCGCCAGCGACGCCGCGCCGTCGCGCCGCCTCTCCGAGGACGCGGCCGCGTCCGCCGCGTCCGCCGCATCGCCGGTGGCGGCGCCGGTGGCAGCGGTGGCGGAGCGCACGGAGAGTCCACCGCTGCGCCTGGAGTTTCTGGTGGAGGCTGATCTGTTGGAGCCTGGGTTCAGCTGGTAACGTTTTGTGGGACTTGGTGGTTTTGATCTGTGGGGATTTGGGTCCAAGTTGGGTATTTTTCAGTGGGACTTCAAGTTGGGAGTCGGGTTTGCGAGGATTGCCTTGGTGATTTTTGTTCAAGCATCCTGTGGTGAAATCCCATATTGCTTGATTGACTATTGGCATTTTGGAGGGCCCAGAATATCCAGAATCTAGACTCACCTGGGAAAGGACCATTGCCGGCAGGATTTCGTTCGATTCTATGAACCTGTTTAAACAGGTTCTTCACTACCTAAACTGGGATGACTGGGATGATAGCTTTGAGCCACTGGTTGATGTCATTGGCCCTTTCAAGAACCGTGGCATCGATGCTTATCCTGTCATCTTCAGGATGCTCGGAGTTCCAGTGGAGATGCGGGCGACAAGAAGGATGTGCAGCAGAGTGCCCTGGATGTATCTGGATGTAACGGGTGCGTCAAAATCAATTGACTCATCATTAAACATCATTCTTTAAAGGAGGAAGGAGCACAGTTGCTGCTTTGAGACACTTTCAACTTTTACAAAGTTGTTATCTCACATGGTCAAGCAGAGGGCTGTGGTTTGGGTCAGAACTGAAAGCTGCAGAAACTGATAACCAGAAGATCTGAGGTCAGAAAGAAGAACGTCGACAGGAGCCTTCAGTACCACGCGGCCGCACCATGGTCTTGGCCCGAAGCGATGAGGGTCGTGCTGCCGAATGTCCCCAGCTGCGCAGACAAGGGATTTGTTTCGAAGGTTTGTCCTGCAGCCACCTGCATCCAGCTGGTTCCCAGTTGGTGCGCCCCGAAGCCTGTCCCTTCAACAGCGAGCACCGTGACCGCTGCCCGCTGCGGAACTTCTGTGCCTTCAGCCATGGCTCTGCGGAGCAGCGGAGGCCCCCCATCTTCCGCGCCAAGGCCGAGGCCGCCCACAGCGCGTCTTCGGAGGCGCCGGAGGCGCTGGGGCGCTGCGTGGCGCCTTTTGCGGCGAACGACGCGGCGGTGAATGTGGTGCGGCGGTCCCTGCGCAGCGCCACGGGGGAGGTGGTGGCGTTGTTGGCTGAGGCCAGGGCCTTGGGGCTGGTTGAAGAGGTGTGTGGTGCTGAGCGAAGGCTGCTGAATGCCCTGGCGGCCACGCCCAGTGCTGGGCCCGGGCCACCACCCAGGAGCAGGGCTATGAGTCGAGCATCTTCCTATGATTCCTTCTTTGATGGAGATGCGGCCAAGTTTGTGCTGGCATCAACACCTGGAGATACACAACCAAGTACTCCCAGATCCTCACTCACACCCACTGGTTGGCCAAATGATCGATATGCCAGGTATGCGCTTCCAGACTGGTTAGCTGAGGAACAGACCATCAACATCCACAACCAGCTGAATCTGGATGGTTTTCCTGGCAGTGATGGTCAGTTTGGAGTCGAAGAGAAGCAGAGGGATGACCTGCAGATGCCTGCCACCTGGCACGATGCTCCCTTGGGTGCTGTGGTGCCAGCCATGCCATCCATGCCATCCACCCTGGTGCTACACCGTGCCGTGCCACGCAAGCGCAACGGGCGGTCAGAGGAGGTGGCCTGGGCAGATGAGGCGCAGGAACTGAGACCCGTGGGACCAGTGGCATCCACAGCCTCTGTCATCTCCAGACACAAATGGCAGCAGAATGCGATCCCACCCGGCATAGGTAGGAGGGCTCTGGGGCTCTGGGCTTGAAGTCTGGTGCTTGGTGAAGATGTTTTATCTGGGATGATGATTTATGATGATTTATGAATATTTATGATGATGGACACTGTTGCCTTATGTTGCCTTATGTTGCCTTATGTTGCCTTATGTTGCCTTATGTTGCCTTCCAGTTTTGTTGGTTTCAAAGTCGCAGGTCTGATGTGGCACAGCAGCCCCTTTGGTATTTCGCGCACTCCCAACATCCACACACCAGCAAGTCATCGCTCACCGGCTCGATCCCCCACCTCCTTCAGTGCCTGGGTGACGATCCCTGGGAGGGGCTGATGTTTGCAGGTTGGATCTGGATTGTGTGGCAGGAGTTAGTTCAATCTATGTTCAATTGATGTTCATATTTATTTCACCATCTTTCACCCAAAATGTACAACTACCCTCTAGTAATTTAACATAGCTATTGAACATGGCCATTGAAATAGTTGATTTTCCCATTGAAAATGGTGATTTTCCATAGTTTTTTGTATGTTTACCAGAGGGTAATTTCTTCGTCCTGTCTTTCTACCACCAGTGGTCTTTGGGTCTTTGGGCGAGTCGAAAAAAGGCGGCTACTGCTCGCCGATTCCGGGCTTCTCTTCCGGTGTGGCTTCACCCAACCAGCGACGCTCCGGCTACTCGTCACCGTCCACCATGAGTGGCACGGCCTTTTTCGCTGGAGCCGCAACGCAGAGTGGTGACTTGGAATGTCTTGGAATGGCTGGAAATTGCTATGGTCCATGGTTTAGTTTGATGGAACCATATGGAAGGTCTGCCCTGTTTGGGGTGAAATTTGGGGCATGGGAAGTTTGGACGTAGCTGATTTCATTGTTTGTTTGGGCACCTAAGGTTTGAGAATCCCTTGATGCGGACATCAATCATGATAAATGAAGGAGATTGGTGGACACCCACTTTCAGAGATTCATAATAGGGATGACAATGTCAATTTGTCCCATTTATCATAGATTCATATAGATTTTAACATAATATCTATAGATATCATGGAGCAGCTCTAATTTTTGGAAGCGGCTCTAATTTTTGGATGTTAAAATGGGCCATCAACTGTGACTGTCAGGTTTGATGCGTCGCTTGATGTCGCTGCGTGAAGCACGTGGTGAAGAGCAGGAAGAAGATAGCGATGATCGGTCCAGTGAAGAACGCTCCGAGGCAAACCGGAAAGCTTTGGGTGGGGAAATCTGTGAACATGCATTAAAAATGGCATGAAAAAGTGTATGAAGTTATAAAAGGATATAACAAAATGAGTTACCCAGGCCCTGCTCATTTTGAGTTCATCGATCGTAGGAAGTATATTGATGTGTCGGCACATAAAAGGAGCTTTCTTTCATCCCAAAAAAGTCAAACACGCTGACCGGACACCGCCGGACACCTTCAAACCTTCTGTTTTTTTCCATCGAAAAAATATTTCCCAAAACTCTGATCTGACATCTATGACATGTGATGACATGTGATGACAGGATGAAGGTGAACCTCCAGATCTCCTGGAGCTGCTGCTGAAACACGCCGAGAAAGTGGCCCCCAGCTGTCGCGAGCCGCGGCTGCTGTCGTTGGACCTGCGGCCCACGGTGCCCGTGTCGCAGCGGGGGCTGCTGCCGTGTCACTCGGTGCCCTTTCTGAATGCCTTGGTGCAGACCCTGCTGGCCTCGTCTCTGATGCCCCTGCTGGCGCAGGTGTGGTGGATATGTGTTTTTTTTGGAAGGTCATTGTGTCGACAATGAACATAAACAATCATCGATCATATAAGTCATCAACTGAATAACGATCATGAACAATGCATCAACTGTTTTTTGTCTTTTAAACACGTAATACAGGTATCATTGAACATACATCATTTCACCACCAAAACTCCATCATCAACCAAATCAGGAACCCAAATCATATTAAACACTATGACTTAACAACAGACATCTTAAATCATCCATGATCCATCATCATCATCATCATCATCATCATCATCATCATCATCATCATGAAACCATCTCCATACTTTCTCCATATCTCCAGGTCTCTCCGCGTCAGCAACGGCCTGCCTACAGCTGCTTCATGCAGCTGGCCCTGGAGCTGTCCGGCACCACCGGCGCGCCGGCGCCCGCCTTGGCGCCCCGCTGGGCCGACGCCGGCCTGCTGCTCGAGCCCCTGCTGCGGCGCTTCGAACGCGGCAAGGCGGTGCAGGAGGCGCCGGCCTTCCCGGGGCCTTGGAAGGTGCCGGGCATGGCCGATATGTGCCTTGGATATCCTTGGGGATGAGTTGGGGTAGCGGGAAGATTTCTTGGATTTTCTTGGTGTTTTTTCTTTTAAAGAGTGGTTTGGAAGATGGGGGGTGAGACGGTTTTTTTTTGCGTTTGCTTGGAAAATCTATGTTTTTTTTGCTGTGATTGTATGTGGATTGTAAACTGGTTGGGTAGTGTGAAGGGGGAACTGTGCTCCTTCTCCGCTTTTACGGGCCCCTGCAGATTGTTTTGAGCAATCCTCACCTTCAGCTGTTTTTATTCTACCATTTTTCCTATTCTCCCAAGATCCAACTGAGGTTTTCCTGCTTCCTTCATTTTTTGCTGGGTCAGCTGCATGATGAATGCAAGTGGCCCTCCACCTTGAGCATCAGCTCTAGCCAGCACGAGGATTCCCCGCTGATGCGTATCTTCGGCGGACTGATCCGCCTGAACTCCCGGACCTCCAAGGCGCCCCGACGGGTGGATCGAGGCCCGGAGACGATCTCGGCCTTTCTGCTGTTGCACTTGGATCTCACCGAGTCAGGCGATGGGGGTGGATGGAGGCGATGGAGGCAACACATTTTAAGGGTTTGACGCTTTGACTTGAACATAGGGTACCCGAAATTGGAATGGATTATCATCATTTTCATGAATTTTCATGATATTTTCCCTATTCAAATGGTTATCTATTGGTATCCCCCATTTTCAGATAAACCATGTTACCTTGCAAGTCTTTGAACTCGAGGGAGGCGACTCCATCACCAGACACTCATCATCCAAGTATGCCTTCAATGATCCGAATCCTATGATGTCATGAATCATCATTCCCACCATTCCCAGGTCTCCATATCCATAATATGAATAGATTTAAGGATATCGCCGAAAAAAAATATATGTTTTTTTTTGGATTTGTTGGTGATATGATATAACTCAACTGATACAATCCATCCCAAACCTTTTCCAGGTGGCAGCTCCTCCGTCGAACTCGAGCTGCAGCAGCTGTTGCTCCGCTACGACGCGCGCTTCCTGCGGCTGCCGCCCTTTCTGCTGTTGCACCTGGAGCGATTCCGCACGGGCGCAGACGGGCTGCCGGACCGGGTCAGCAAGAAGTGTCGGATGGATCTGAAACTGGAGCTGGAGGAGGTTGGGATGGAGCTTGGGATTGGGTTGATGATCTTGGATTTTTATGGATTTTTGGGATTATTATATCATTCTATATCTGTATATTATTGAGGAGCTGGTAATATTGATGGAGCTGTGGGTGCGGGGGAAGCCCCAAGTTTTTCATCAGTTTTCCATGATTTCCATGCCTGCCAGGCCAGTAGCTACACCTTGCGCTCCGTTCCCTACCAGCTTCGTGGTGCCATGTGTCACTACGGCGAGGTCCCCGAGGGCGGCGCCTACAAGGCCCTCATCACCGAGGCCATCGCTGGTGGAGGCGGCTCCCTGCGGTGGCACGTGCTGGACGACGTGACGGTGCGCTGCAAGGGCCAGGAGGAGATGCAGGAGATGTTGGAAGCCGAAGGCCCGGCCCGGTTTTTGGAGTCTTGGGAGATGGGATGATGGATGGGATGATGGATGGAGATGGATGGGGCTTTGGTTTGGGATGCCGCGATTTTTTTGGGGAGATGTTCACTCATGTTATGGCGACGGAATAAAAGAGGGGATCCCAAAAATTCGGAGATTTTCACTGATTTATGGCCATAAAACCAAGGGGGAAATCATGACCTTTGATGGGGATAGATGGGGTGGATAATTTACTGATCTTGGGCACTTTTGGTGGATATGTTGGATGAATTTGAATGGGACAATGATGTTGGAAAGGGGAAGGCGAGATTTTACATGCAGATGGGTATTGGTTCTTTGAATACTGTAGCAGCTAATTCAGATGGGTTTCGGATGAGATGATGCTTCTTAATGGGTTTTGTACTTGCATGTTTCAAAAGTTTATGCAGATGATTCTTACCAAAACAGGTGTGTTAAGCCAACATAAACGGATATATCTTTCCAGAAATGAAGACTTTAACTGCTGCTGAAAAACGGTTGCTGTGTACCCAGTACCAAGAGTGTATGAGGAACACTTGACAGATATGCAACGGTCAGGTGAGGAACGGATGATCCAATACCGACAGTTGAATCGAGAAACGAAACAGCAACAAGCTGGCAATTTGTGGAAGAAGAATGGTGTTTTTGGAGCCATCAATGATATATCCTTTGGCACTTCAACATAGCTATGGAACATGTCACATGTCCCATTTAATTCGATATTTTACCTCTTCGAAATTGTAAGTTGCCATAGAAAACTGTCAACTAATATCGGAGATGACCAGAGATTGAGCCATCATTTTACCATCATGTTACTGTACCATCATTTTACCATCATGTTTCCAACATTTTATCCCCAACATTTTTTTCTCAGTTGTCCTCAGCCGTCAAGCTCAGCTGGAGCTGAGTCTTGGCGTCCTGGCAGGTCATCATGTGTGTTTTCTGATGTACCACCGCCTCGATACCAAGACCGTGAACCTACGCCCCCACGCGGCTCGCTGGTGGATTTGTGGATTTCGGGGGATTTGGGGAGAAAAGGAATTGTGGGAACTTGGGAGAAGTGCAATGTATCTTGATTGTTATCAACTGCTTATCAATGTTTATCATTGTTTTATCATGATGAATCTTATTTATCCATACCATATTCCACCATGGTTTGTAGATTCTTGGTGAATTGTTCAATACCTACCTCTGGTGAATTACGAGAAGGGCGTCTCGTTTGTTTTGAAATGACCAGCTTGCAGTCGCAGTTCCCAGCTGAGGCAGCCCTATCGTAAGGGAGCATTGACGTGGTGACTGGCAACTTGATAGTGGAACCAAAGAGTTCTACAGAGTTCTACAGCTCTAAGACCTGATGTTTCTTGCAATTTCTTGCATTCATACCTCCAGAGAGCTGCTTCTATCTTGGAACATGTGTCACTTGCCATTAGGTTTTTTAGATGCGAGGCCATATCAGTTTGGTAAATCTTGCCTGTGAATTGCAAGGGATCATCTGGTTCTATGTACATAGAACATCAGTCTAAACAGCTGCTGCTGCTACTTTCAAAAACAATGCAGTGGAGGCACCTGGAAGCGAGTCAGAACCTGTTACACTGTTACACGCAGTGGCAGATTCAGCTGTCTGCTGTGTCTGATTAAAGATCCAAGAGGCCTTGAGCAAATATCCACCGGAAGATGTCCACCCAGGTACATAACCAAGCACATACTGTGGTGATTGGGGGGGTTTACAGGCTGTAACTCCGCCAGATCCTTGGCAATTTCCCCCAAAACTGAGCCAAGCGACAGCCCGACGCCATGTTCAAACAGCCGAGCCGCAAGCCAGCTTTGGCTATTTGCAGCGAGAGATTTTGGCAAGGCAGAGGGCAGAACCATTTGAAGAGATGTCCGATGAGTCTCCAAACTGCTTTCTGAGCTTAACCCAAGTATTGATATCTCCATTGTGGAAAGCGCCCTGTTGGATCCACAACCATCACCAATGGACCGTGGGTGCCTGTTCTCTGCGAAGCAGAGCGCCCAGCAAAAAACACTTCAGATCTACCTGGTTAGTTGAACAGTCCCACAGCTGTAATGTGGCGCAATGGCCGGTTGCGTGCACTTTTCAGAGTGCTGAGCTCAGTCCCAGTGGGAACTTTTTTTTAAAGCCGAGTCCCAGGATTTGCTGATTCCAAGGTGCGCCCCCGAGTTCCGCGAGTGGGGGCACTCAGTTGTGCCATTCACAGATCATCACCGTGAAGGATTTTTTAGTATTTCCCGCTTGCGCCATGACATACCTGCTGCCCCCTGCAGTTGCCGGGAACTCAACTTGGCTCCAGAGCTTTTCAGAGGCAGGGATTGTCACTCGGAATGGTTCACTAGGGAAAAAAATGAAGATTGGAAGCAATGTGGCTTGTATCTGCCGTTTCTAACAGGTTTGGGTTTTGTAAGAAAGATGTCACATTTAACAGGTGGACCCTTTTTCGCAACAAATTCACCTTCTTTGGAATTCAACTTTGAACCATGCAGAGAACCTCAAAGCAAAGCAATGATACATTGACAGAGTGCGATCTCCGACAGAATTGACGAATGACTTCAGCCGATTTTTCTGAAATGTCGAAGAATGTTGGGTCCAAACTAAGACAAGAATTCGTTTCACCATCTCTTCTCTTATCTTCTCTTCACATCAACATGTATGGGATCTATGGATGTTTTATGGATATTTTATGGATGTTTTATGGATGTTTTGGGGTTTTAAGCCACCAAATAGCAAAATTTCTGGGTCGCCACATGACACCTGACCCAGGCGCAGTACCTTGGAGTTTCCGACGTCGCAACGGCGCTGCTTCAGTGAGGTGAAGCCAAAGGCGAAGCGCCCCCTGCGACCGAAGGCCTGCCATTTCTCCATGAGAGTCATGATGATTGCCATAAAATTGCCATATACCACCTGGTTATTTAACATAGCCATGGGAAATGACCCATAGAAATAGATGGTTTACCGAACTTAACAATGGTGATTTTCCATGGCGAACTGTTAAATAACCAGTATATCCATAGGAAGGTGGCATAGGAAGGGACAACATGAGTTGGGATTGGAGATGTTTGACATTTTATGGCATTGTTTTTTTCTGAGCTTCATTTTGGGGTTCCGAGCGATGTCTTGAAACCTGAGATTTCGGGCCTGGTTCAAAACTTCAAGACCCCCGAAGAATAATTCTCATGGAAGAAATGTAGTAGTGATTATCCGATTCTCCATGTATGATCCCAGTTGTATCCCCATGAATATCCCATTTATTTAGATCCTATATGTTTGGGTGAAATCCCCAATAAAAATTCCCATCAACCATCCCATGTTCCATCATTTTCGAGTGAATTTCTCCAGCCCTTTCTCCACATGTCTTGCGGCTCGGCTGCCAGGAGGAGCTCTTGAGGGATGCCACGCACCACGACGTGCCGGTGCGGCGCCGCGCCGTGAAGGACCTGGGGAAGTACCGAGAGGATCCAGAGGCCATTGAGGCGATTGCCAAGGCCCGGACTGGGGGATGGGGGGTGGTTGGGGGTGGTTGGGGGTGGTTGGGGATGGGGGATGGGGATGGGAGGTTGATGAAGTTTTTAAGCCTTGGAATTGGATGGGGCAATTGGATGGAGAAATGGGTGGATGTTCATTTCATGAGATTTGCATCATGTGCGATGTTTTGGGAGTTAGGCTCTGGGAGACGAAGATGTGGCGGTGCCTCAGCGTTTTGATTAGCAGATGGATGGGAGGTTTGCCACCTGGGTCTTTTGGTGATAAACTGGACCTTTGAAAGTCGAACGTCAACCTGAAGAATGAATCCAGTTTATCACAAAAAAATGCTGATGATTATGGGTGATCAAGTGGATTATTAATCCATATTATGGGCATGTTGGGCAGAGGTGAAGATTTCTTCAGGGGGAACCAACGGTCCGGACTCGAGCCAAGTGACTCCCCAAAGGCATCTTTTCACAGAATTTGAATCCTCAAATTACTCGACTTTCGACATTTGAGGGTGTACCCTCTGGTAATCTAACCAAGCCGTGGAAAATGGCTAGGTAAATCATCGACTTTCATGGCTAAATATTTCAATGTCAATCTGTTAAATCACCAAAGACAACAATATCAACAATATTCAACAATTTCAAGTTCGGATTCTTCAAAAAAACTCGTTCGATCTGGAGAAGTTATAGAAGTTGAATGAGAACTTAGAAATTCTCATGGTCGAAGTGTGCTACCAAGGTGCAGCTTGCAGCACAGGGTGCCATGTCCAAGGTGGCAGAGCTGGGAGATGAACGAACGGCCTGGCAGCCAAGGGGAGGGGGGTCAGTTAAAGAATTTCATGACCCCTAGAGGTCCCTAGAGGCCTAGAGGTCCCCCCATAACTCATTCTGGAAGGATAGGATATACAGATGGATAATGATGGATATAGTTTTCGATCCTTCTAATTTGAGAACTAATGAGCTTAATCCATTGATTTTCCCAAATAAACACCCAAAAACATACCTTGAACATCAGGAGAAGGAATCCACACCCTTCATTTTTGAGTATAGTTTTTGATAGCTCCAAATGGTTAAATATGGCAGGCTATGGTATTATTGGGTGTACCACATCACTAGGAGTGACCCCATAGTGATGGAAGAATTTGGAGGCACCAACAAATGAGGATTGAAACCTTGAACAAGAGGAACAGGTTTGACCAAAGCAATCGTGTTTCTTTTTAACCATAAAGATCCATAAAGAATATTCTAGGATTTGGCTGCTTTTTCTTCAATCATGGTGAGAGAACCAAGAAGAGGTTCAACGCGCTGATGGAGCAATCCCGAGTAGCATTATTTTGTGGTATTATTCAAGTGGGGGAATGGTCGCTTAGCAGCTTGCTTTTCTGCGGCGAGGTCAAAGTGACCCTTGAGCGTGTCTCGAGCACCTGTGTTAGGGCTCCCAGAATGCTTGGGGAAAAGGTGGAGAGCTCATGGGGAGGCTGGTTATATCTTGAGATCCCCAAATGCCCGGAAATGCCTTGAGCGGATGATTTTCTTTGCTGAATTGTCTCGAAGTTCTGGGAGTTCAGCTGGACATAACATGACTTTCATGACATGGTGATATGGTTCGATAAAGCTGGCAGACCATACCTGGGGTTTGGAGCAGGGTTTCTGTAAATCCCATCATCCAGGAGGACAGAACTTATAGAAACAGAGGTTCTCCTGGACGGTAGTGGCTGGCTATTGGCAGTTGTAACTTAGTTGTTCACCAGTTTTTAATCCCATTTTTTTTCATCCCATTTATTGGTGATATATCAGTGACTCTTCGAGAATATTTTCATGAATATTCGGAAGATATACCATTCATATACCCTTCATATGCCATCCATGAAAATCAGAAGCCCACAGCTGTGGAAAAAAATACCAAGGAGTGGACCCGCATTGCGGCCCTCAGTACACTGGCGGACATCACCGGCAAGTTCGGGCACGTCGCGGGGCCAAGTCGGCTGAAATGACATGAAGATTTTGTTCGAAAATTCCACCTGTTGGGCCCTGAAATTGTTGTATAATTCTGGTAATGCAATGCTGACCCTTGCAGAAAGATTTGAGCTTGAAACGATGAAGAAGGGAGCGATCAATGTTAAATGTCTGGGCCCGCTTTGTGTCAGACAGATTGACCTGAAATGTCATTTTTGCTTGGAACCAGCGTGGCAAATCAGGATTTTCTGGAAGCTGGAGACATGCGTCAAGAACTGTGCGCAGAGTTTTCCTTACCCCCAGAGGAACAACACAGTTGTAAGTTCGAGGAACACGAATTGCCAACCTTTCGCCCAACGTTTCACCATGGATACTCCAGCCCCGAAGTGTATGCTTGGAGAGAGTACATGAGAGTACTCAAATTTTGATTTGATGTGGGCTGTTTGTCGCTGTTTCAATTGTGAAGACGACGTTGTCATGCTAGTGACTCCATAGAACAAAGATGAACAAAGATATAAAGATCAAATTATGAGCAAACCATGAGAATGCCAAAATTGCAAGAGCATGCAAGAGCACTTTCGTAACTTGATGTGTCCAACCAAAAATTTGTTGGATGCCCGCTTTGTATCAGGCAGATTGACGGACTTAAGATGTCATATTTGCTTGGAACCAGCGTGGCAAAGCAGAATTTCTGGGAAGCTGGAGGCATGCGTTACGGTGTCGCATGTTCTCTGTACTAGCAGAAAGACAGACGTATCATTTGGATTTATCTGGCATCATGCCCGAAAATGCGTGAAACATCCCCACTGCAGAGCTCCCAGCTCTTGCACAAACTTCCCAATGTTTGATGCACACAATCATGAGCTCTAAGATTGATGTGTGCGCAGCAAAGTCTGTTGCAGCCTCGAACTGTACCAGAAGGCTATCGCAACTGCAA